ACCGGTTTCGAGGTAATCAAATTTCCCTCGCCTAACGGCTCTGGAAATGTGTACCTCTCAACCAGTATTTTTGGCAAATACCCCTTGTAAGCATGATATATTTGTATAAAATCCCACGACTCGGAAACGTTATATTATAAAAATCGAAAGGGAGATTACGTCATAGATATAAACAATTCACCAAAGTTTCGTGAAAATTGGTGAAAGTGTTCTTGAGTTATTGTCCGAAGTGTTGACGACGGGCGGACGAACAGCCGGACGGACAACGGTATACCATAATACGTCCCCTAAACGGGCGTATAAAAATGAATAGTAAGCATGGAATATTGTCAAATTGTTCTAAATTTTGGCAGAAATAAAACAAGACATTACTGAGTTATTCGATTCTTTACGGATGTGAATTGAAGCATGGATGCAATTTTGGTACTCCTCATTACAGAATCATGGGTCGTTTGGAGTTCGGTTCAAACATATTTTTCTGTGATTCAATATGAATTCAAAATTAAATTGGTGGAACTATACAGTAAATAACGCCTATCATACATTTGTGATAAAGACTTTCTATTTATAAATTCTGAATTACACCTTCCCCAAAAGAAAGTATAAACATATATACAAGTCTAAATTGAAAACAACGTTCAAACCTATGATTGCGTTGGATAAAAACCGCAATTTTTATACGTGTGCATGCAAAACAAATTTCTTGGTAGAGGGGTCTAAATACAGTACATACAACATTTTCCAAAAGACCAAATGAGTGAAAAAGTATATTTTAACAAAACGCATTTGACCAGCAGGTCGAACAACTGATGTTCTTAAACCCTGCTGACTGCCATTAGCGATTGCCAAATAAACGGATCACAAGATGTAACAAAATAGATCTATATATATATATATCTATTTATTCGTGCGAGATTTTCAGGTAAAGGGGACACCACTCTAGCAACAAATAAGATTTTACTAATGATATAGGTATTTATAACAATAAGTTCATGTCTAAAATTTAGCTTTCTATTTTCCCATTCATTTACGGTATTTTTTATACTATGGATAAGTGGTAAACAGCTTTTATTCTTACTTTCCTTACCAAACCAAATTCCTAGTGTTTTAACGCTTTCTTTAGTTAAAAGCTTTAAGCGGCAAGTGTCTTCTTCTGGAGCATTACAAATATTTAGTATTTCCGTTTTATTTTTATTTATTTTTGCTCCTGATGCTTTACCAAAATTTTCGAATTCGTTCATAAAGAAGTAATAGTCTTGAATATCTGTTGTAATGCCTTTTATGTTTTATTTGTTCTTATTGAATTTGCCAATGTTTCAACAGCTAGAGCATATAAATTCATGGAGAGCATGAAGCCTTGTCTAACTGATATTGTAATTAAAATTTCTTCTGTTAGTAAACCATTTACTTTTATCTTACTAATCATAAGGGCATGATACGCCCGTCACATTTTTGCTCGTCTTTATGCTTAAATGAATTTATATGATCAACTAGAAATACTGTGAGCACTGCTCAAATAGACCCCCCACCCCCACTCCAGAAGAAAAAAAAAAAAAAAGACATGCACACACAGTGGTACCCATTGACACAAAACATGAACAAGTTGGCATAGGCGAACCAGGGGGGGGGGGGGGGGGGGGGGGGGTCTGGGGGCCCGGCCCCCCTTTCGTGGGAAAAATTTGGTTGATTATATAGGGAATCACTGAAGCGTGACTGTAGCGGCCCCCCCCCCTTTTAGGTCAGTCAGCGGGCCCCCCTTTACAAAAAGTTCTGGATCCGCCACTGGTTGGCACTTTTAAGGCTACCTCAAGTTTGACTAAGTTTGTGGCCTCGATCTTTGAACGAATTCTATAACCATCCAAAGTGTGAAAAATTGACATTTTTCAATAACTTTTCAACAAATAAAGTTCCACAACTCAGCAATGTCATATCAGAATTTTTTTTTTAAATAAAAGAGACCGTATTTCTAGATATAAACAAGTCACCAAAGTGTCATGATAAATGCTCAAAGCATTTTTGAGTAACTGTCCGAAAACTGGAAAAATTCCCCCTTTTTCATGAATAAAGTCCAAATACTCCAAAACGTTAAAATTTCTGAAAATTGAGAGGGAACTTATGTCAATATATATAAACAATTCACCAGAGTTTCATGAAAATTATTTTTGAGTTATAGTCAGAAAACTGGAAAATCGCCCATTTTTTTATAAATGTAATTCCACCTTATGTAATAATGCTGTATTTTGATTGGATGAGAGACATGGTATTTTTCACCAATTTCTATGTATTGAGATTTTCTTTTCTCTGCCGGGGTATTTGTCCTTAGGGAATTCCATGTGCCGGGGTATTTGCTAGCAAATACCATGGCAGATGGGGAATACCATGTCTAAAAATAACCCAATGAATTATTTCTAATCTAATAGGACAAATTTATGGTCATTCTTAATATACGGTTCCAAGTGAAATATAACTTGTGATAAAAAACATCGTTATTGAATTTGGAGCGAATGACGTCAAAATTCCGCGAACCTGTACTTTTAATGACGTCATAAATAAATCTCAACGGAAACACATTGTCAACCTGTCATAAACATAAACTGGAATCCGCTTGTATTACGCTTCACTCAAACTGATGAACAAAGTGTAGTAGTCGGCCGAGAATCAGCTTCTCATAAACAGGGATATATCTATAACGTGAGGGTACCCAAATTGCACCTATTTTGACAGTTTTTTCACCTACGTTTATTTATAATCTAGACAAAAGTTTCCATTCTGTGTTTATTTTGTAGATGTATCATTATTTACTATATGGTTCCACCAATTTGATTTTGAATCCATATTGAATCATAGAAAAATGAGTTTGAACAGACCTCTAAACGATCAATGATTCTGTAATGAGGAGTACCCAAATTGCATCCATGCTTAAATTCACGTCCTTAAAAGTCGAATAACAGATATTTTGTTTTATTTCTTTAAATATTTAGAACAATTTGACATTAGTCCATGCGTACTATTAATTTTTAAAATAAATGAATGCTTGTAACATATTTTATTCGCTTATTTTTAAAAGATGACTTTTTGTGGACGTCGCATGTCGACGTTTCCGTACATTTTACTTTTTCCAGTGAACACTTCATCTGTTTTTATATATACTGTGAACCTTTTGTGTATATTTAAATATATTTACCTATGTTGAAAGACGTGCAAAGTGTCAAATCATAAAAATACAAATTGTTTAGTCTCTAGGAAAACTTGTAAGATTTCTGCTGCTATCTTCATTAAATAGGTGCAATTTGGGTACCTGACGCAATTTGGGTACCGTGACGTTATATACGGTCAGTGACTGTACATCAAAAATGATCAGAAATAATTTTACGGCCAATGCAATTTGACTGCGCAAATAGCAAAGCTGCAGTATATACAAAAATTATACATTCAAGTCAGTAGAAACTCCATATGATACCTGATTACAATAAACTTTCTGAGGTCAAGATGGATACAACTTGAAGAACATTCGGTGGAATTAAACAATTATATCATGATTACAAGGGGTATTTGCCAAAAATACCGGTTTCGAGGTAATCAAATTTCCCTCGCCTAACGGCTCTGGAAATGTGTACCTCTCAACCAGTATTTTTGGCAAATACCCCTTGTAAGCATGATATATTTGTATAAAATCCCACGACTCGGAAACGTTATATTATAAAAATCGAAAGGGAGATTACGTCATAGATATAAACAATTCACCAAAGTTTCGTGAAAATTGGTGAAAGTGTTCTTGAGTTATTGTCCGAAGTGTTGACGACGGGCGGACGAACAGCCGGACGGACAACGGTATACCATAATACGTCCCCTAAACGGGCGTATAAAAATGAATAGTAAGCATGGAATATTGTCAAATTGTTCTAAATTTTGGCAGAAATAAAACAAGACATTACTGAGTTATTCGATTCTTTACGGATGTGAATTGAAGCATGGATGCAATTTTGGTACTCCTCATTACAGAATCATGGGTCGTTTGGAGTTCGGTTCAAACATATTTTTCTGTGATTCAATATGAATTCAAAATTAAATTGGTGGAACTATACAGTAAATAACGAAACATCTACAAAATAAACACAGAGTTAAAACTTTTATCTGGGTCATAAATAAACGTACGTGGAAAAAACTGTCAAAATAGGTGCAGTTTGGGTACCCGCACGTTAAATTTTTAATGCGTAACAAGTCCCATTCCTATTTTTACCCTGCTGGTGCTTCACCCCTGGGCCGAAATCCTTGATCCGCCAATGAGCCTATCCATCTAACGGAGAAGTGAATTGCTGCATTTTTCACGAAATAAATTATGTTCCATGACGACCTGTTTTTTTTTTTTAAATTAATTTTCAGTAAAAAGGAAACTTCGTCTTTTATCACTAATATTATATCTCAGCTAATATCAGATCTCATAAAGGCGAGCATAAAAGACATAACTTGAGAGGATGTGGCAAGATTTCCAATGAGACAACTCTCCATAAGAATCGAGGGGGTGGAACACATGCAAGCACTTGTCTATGAAAAAATACCTAGATGTTTTAATATAACATTTAAAGTATACAGGTATATTTTATTTCAGAAACAATAAGTGCCTCTGCCCCTGTATTCCCTGACAAAAATCGTCAAAAAAAAGTTTTTTTTAGCATATTTCTACTTTTACTCCCCTCTTCCCCCGGTTCCTACCCCTCCATGGCTCCGCCTGGCTCCCGCTCCCCTCCCTCTGACTCCGGCTTCTCCGACACCTCATTCCCATTTTCCCTTACCCCTGAACTGAAGAAACAAACTATTGTATTTATTCCTCTCCTGAAACAAATTATGTGTTGTTTATTTCTCAAAAATAAAAAAAGCATGCCCATCCCAAGCCTCCCCAAACAGATACACAATGAATGCTTTCATTCTATAAATAACAAAATAACCTTGAACTTAAATAAGAAAGCAACATTTTGCGTTGTTAAAATTATCTAGACCTTTCGAGTTTCAGCATTACTATCATAAAAACAATGAAAAGACCAGGGGGTAACAGAATGTTTAAACGCCAGCCACACTACAGTACAGACTTCCAGCAGAACTGAAGGCAGAGAAAAAATGACGTATGTCCCAGTGCTTTGGAACCGCTACAATCAAACACAGCATGATTTTGATGACATGTTTCACTTTATGGATGATTGGGAGCCTATGTCCGTAGGTTGTGGATATGGTCGTTACCCAACGTGCCCGATGCGAAGGAGGCGCAGACCGGAGACTTCACTGGCGGATAGAAAGTGGACATACAGCGTTAAAATTGGAGACTTCGATGCACAACATGTCAAAGTGAAAGTTGATAACGGTGAGTCTATTCATAAAATTTGGAGAAAATGTTATCGTTTTCCACTTCTATCTTGACTGATTGTGGCTCAGCGGCAAATATTACATGCATATTTAGACATGTCGGAGACCTCAGCTGGATACTACACGATTGGATATGTGAATGAAATGAATAAAACCTGCTTTGCACCTAACCAGGAAGTCAGAACACATGTTTTTTTTCTCTGTTACATATATTTTCAACAGAATTTCCTATCTTTTTATTTATTTTCCGTCACAATCTTAAATTTCCGGCTATACATGTAGGTAAATAGATTGTTAAATATGCATCTTTTAAGCACACAATCCCCTCATTTGGAGTTAATTAGATATTTTCTGCTACACTTTAAACTTAAGCTAAGTCTCCTTCTAAAAGATTGGAACATTGGTATTAATTAATACGTTTTTTTCTTGCAAGAACAGTCACCTTGTATATCCAATATCTTTTCTACCAATTGTAGTCCAGGGTCCTTTTTCCTTTTTAGTTTTTCAGGAATTTTATTGAATTTGTAAAGATCGTTTAGGACCCTTTCAAAATATAATTTTGAATTTTATAATCTGCTATAACCCATTTATTTTGTTATTACACAATGAACAAACGTTTGAATTTGCAATATTTTATGATTCTATATTTTACTACATTTTTTTTTATTCTTGGCATCACATTCTACAGTTAATATAGACCTATTATATAACTTAAACTAAATAAACTGAAATAAATATTTAAATAAAAAAATTATGATAAAGAAATTAGAATTCAAGAAATCAGAATAAGTTTCCTACAAGTTGTAATAACAGATCTCAAAGTTGGTTGTAAAGATTTCTTAAATTTGTAATTATACAAATTAAAAAAAAAAGGAATACAAATGTGTTCTTCCATTTGTAATCAAGTTTTAAAATCCATTGGGCTAAGACCTCTGCCCATTTTTTATGGGATTTCAAAGGTGATTTTACAAAAATTTTGGGTACATGAAAATATTACATTTTCTTGGGTTTATTATTCACTGAAGCATGGGTTTGGGAATCTTTTGTGTTTTCACCCTAAACACATTATCACATGTTCACTCAGGGCATTGTACAACATCCTTTATTCAGGAAATAACAATTTGAAATATACTCCAAAGTACAGTCAATGATATTTTAGTGTAGAACTGCATTATTTTGTATTAGCAGGTCAAATACTTAAAGGTTGCTTTCAGTATTAACAAGGAGCTTATTTTTTGTGATGATTTTGCTAAAATCTTGGTTTATTTTGTAGTCTATATATAGGTACATGTATTATTGAAGTTAGTGTTTTCTGATTTTCATTGTTCTATGTTACATTTGTTATTCTACTAGTCAAGATTGAAAGGGGTAGTTTTGATAATGCAGCAATTAGTTTAACCCCTCTAACTATGCATGTGCCTGTCCTAAGTCACTCACCATGTCGGTGGTTGTCTGTAGTTATATTTGAATAATTTTTGGAGTTTGGTAATGATGGCAAATCCCTGTTAAATTTATTCCCAACTTTTCTAGACAGGGTTATTAAGAACTTGAAAAAATGAACAAACCTTGACTGGAGATGACTGGAGGGAAGGGTAGTATACATTTGTGTTGTTGGATATTACTGGTTTATTGACATTGTATACTCAACATTCTCTTATTTTTAAGGTAACGTAATTATTCATGCTAAGTACACAGATGGTAATGATGAATGGGGAGATACTGTTGAACGCAAAAGGACAGTCAAAGTTCCCGAGAATGTTGATGCTGAAAAAATTCACAGCTTCATGAGATCAGATGGAACTATGGTATTGGAAGCCCCATACAATCATCCAGAGGAGAGACAACTCCAAGTTGTACCACATGAAGGTGGTGCCTTAGTGTCAAGTGACAGTCACAGCAACTTGATGAAATTCAATGTTGAAAATTTTCGTCCAGAGGAGGTTAAAGTTTCATGTAAAGATGGAACGTTGACAGTCCAAGGAGAAAAACAGAGGTCTGAAGATGGTCATGAAATACGCGAATCATTCTGGCGTCAGATGACAGTTCCACGGTCTGTGGATGGAAAGAACATTGAATGCTTAAGGGATGAGGACGGGAATCTTACTATACGTGCACCAGCGGTTGAAGATGTTGAAATGGAACAAGCCAAGAAATAGATTTAGCTTGACTTTCCATTTCACAATAGCAGGCTGTAGTCAACATTATGTCCATTGTCATTGTTTTTGCAATGATTGAACCAATCATTTGATGTTTCATTCTGTCAGTAATGTTAAAAAAAAATTGTTTGCTAATTCAGATTATTTGAATTACTTTTTCTCATATGTGTTTGATGTGAATCAGTATTGTGTTAGAAGCATAAAACATGCTTTGACAATCATGTATATTCTATAATGGACCAAACGTTAGATGTTGCATAATTTTTAGTTCAATTTTAAAAAAGAGAACAAATATGTTACTATGTTGTGTATACATGTTTTTTTTGTTATTGTCAGAGATAGACATTAAATAATCTTAACACAGTATTTTTATCAGTTATTATTGTTCAAGGATACAATTTTGATAAAAGCATGACTACTTTTCAAAGTCCATTTAAGGCCAAAATTTTGTTGTTTGTTGTTGTTTATATTGCATCCTCTTAATTATACGTTCTTGTATGGTTTGAGATTTATGGCAAACTAGAAAAATAATTCAGAACATCAATTTAAAATCAAGAAGGAGTTTTAAATGTACATATATACTTAGTCATATGTCATGATATCCTATATCATTGTTTGGACCCAGATGAAAACATTCTTCACTGCTGTTTTGTTTGCTTGATGAAATATTGAACAAGAAAGATTTTGATGTTAAATATGGCGTCGAACGATTTGGCATGTTTAGTAATGGGAGTGCTCCAACATAGTAGGGTATACTCCTTTACCTCTCTTCGTCAAGATGTCAGTCCGTCCATCTGTTCATCGGGTAACACATTTCTGTCTGTTTTTCCCCTGGACATTAAACGAGAGCTTTTTGATATTTGTTACCATGCTTCCTATTACTAAATTGTCCTATACAATTATTTACTATAAATAATCTTGATATTTGGTACATTTTTACCAAGCTTCAAACAGGTAGTTATACAATGTGACACACTTCCACATTGTTTTGTATCTGCATTCCCTTTCATGGTGGACCAATATGTTTATCATGAATTAGTCTGTGCTTTACTTTATCTCAAATGCTGAATAGCAGGGTTACAAAAATAACCGAACTCCAAGGTAAATCCAAAGGGGGGAAGAAATCTTGCAAAATTTAACCAACGGAACGAATGCAAAACAACTTATATTCCTGACTTGGTATATTTATTTTCCAAAGAAAATGGTGGGTTAAATCTGGTTTTATAGCTAGCTAAACCTCCCATTTGTTTAAAGTTCCGTTATACTGACAAAATTGGATGAGCAACCTAAACAGACATAATAGGTTATAGTGACAAAAATTGGGATCCAGCAGCCACAACTGTAAAGATTCAATTCAATTCAAAGATTTTATTGTTTAAATCAATTGTATTCAATCAAAGGGATTGGATAAAGGCTCCGCCTATATAAATCCTTTCCCATACAAGATGGATATAATAATAATTGGCTTTTACATGTAACGTTAATTAGGGTCCCGCCGAATGGCGGGTCGCCCTATAGTGATCAGTCTGTCCGTCCGTCCGTAACAAATTGTGTCCGCTCTATATATAGAGAACCGTTATGATTTCATACTTTATACTTGACATGTATATTAACCAACACCATAGGGTGTGTCATAATGTTTGTACAACTTCCTAGGTCAAATGTCAAGGTCAAAAACTTTGGTTTCAGTTGACAACCCCATGTCCTATTGTAAAGATCGTGTCCGCTCTATATCTTAGAGAACCGTTATGATTTCAAAGTTTATACTTGACATGTATATTAACCAACACCAAATGGTGTGTCATAATGTATGTACAACTTCCTAGGTCAAAGGTCAAGGTCAAAAACTGGTTTCAGATGACAACCCCATGTCCTATGGTAAAGATACAAATTTTTACCACACGTTATTCACAGCGGGGCCAACAGAGATGGCTCTCATCTCAATGATGTCTAGTTCATACAACATATAGTCTCACAGTGAGTCAGAGGAGGCAACCATACCTCATCTAACAATATAAAAATAAGATGTGGTATGATTGCCCATTAGACAACTCTCAACAAGAGACCAAATGAAATTAACAACTATAGGTCACCGTACGGCCTTCAACAATGAGCAAAGCCCATACCGCATAGTCCGCTAGGCTAGATGTCTAGATTATACTTCAAATACAGTTATTATATAGTTTAGTGGACTCTCAGTCGGTACACTAGAATAAGAATAAGAATTTTATTTGTTTAAAATCCAAGCAGTAGGATTGTTACTAAAGAAAAATATATAAATAGATAGACAGAGAACAATACAAACATGTAGCATTGAAAAAAAAAGAAAAATGTTATATTTATACTAGTGAATAGGATGCTCTTAGAGATATCATATGTATGTTTCTAAAAATAAAAGGTAGCACTCTGTGAAAGAGGAATGTAGAATGATTTTTTTCATATCGACTCACAGTGACAAAAATGACCCATCTTTTGAACTTATATACATGTTTACACAATATCAATACATTTCAGTACAGCTATTTGATATATACCACCTACGTTCATGTCATTTAAATGGATATATGTTTTATTTAATAGATATATATTTTTTTAAATGAGTGTGTTTAAAGGGGCACTAGCTACGAGATATATAAAAAAAATCTGAAATATGATTTTTTTTTGGTCAATCATTAATGAAAGTAGAATAGTGAAATAATAATTCGCTTTTAGCAGCCAGTATGGTTCAATTTTGTCAAAATAAGCTAAAAACATTGATGATGAATTATTCACTTGCAAGTGAATAATTCGACCCCATTAATCCGTATTCATGTGAACTTCAATTTAACCCCTTGGCTAGAAATAGATACTGCATGAATTGTGCGTGTTGAGTTATTTAAAGGAAAAGAATGTCAACATTGAAACTGAAACAAAGGTAAATCATTTGATTGACTGATTCGATCCACAAAAATCATTCTTATACAGGTTAAAAAGATGATTAACATATTTTTAATCTATAATATGAAATTAAACAGACCTAGAAAAATCCAATTGCACGAGTTTCAATATCTATTTATATCTATATTTATGTTTATATCGCTTATATATATGGCCATCGGATGTTCTCGGAGGTCAACTCGATAGTTAATTAGAGGGGCACTAGCTGGCAAATTCATGTTCACCGATTTGACTCAAATTCTCATATTTGATTTATAACAATGTAAAACATTTATCCAAATTATAAAGTCTAAAATAAACAATTTACAGGGCATGGGCTCGAGAATATGTATATTTTAGTCTAGGCGCCATCTAATTAACTATCTCGTAGCTAGTGCCCCTTTAAATAAGGAACTAATTATAGTGATATAATTTATATATTTTTTAGTTCAGAATAAGAAAAGCGGAATGGAATTAAAAGTTAACATAATTTGGAGCAATGAGGAGCATTGGTGGTATATAATATGGTGCAATATCAAAACTAGACAAAGTCATTTTAACATCATTGAAATCTTCTTGTGTTTTCAATATATTGTTGTACATTTGCAATTTTTTTATATTTTCATCTATATTGAGGTCTGAGTTGCCATAGAGCAGAACTGTAAACACACATCACAGACATACAACACAACTGACTAAAAAATTCAAACAAACATAAATGAATCCAACAAAGACGCCAACAAAAACGTTTTTGTAGTTGAAAGTAAATCTGGCAGACGCCAACAAAACATTTTTGTAGTTGATAGTATATACAGTATATGCTTTCTCGATAAAGTACAAATTAAGTAAAATATACTAGAAGAAAAACAAGGATAAACAAAATGAAAACAACCGTGTAAAAACCTCTTGCGTCAGAATCTCACATATGGGCCCACCTACATAGCTGGATGCATAGATACCGAGTCGCATCAAGTCATACGACCAAAAAGGAACATAACAGCGCAAAGGCTAATAAAGGGAAAACTGCTAAGCAAATAAAAAGTTCTTGTGGATGGTCCGAGGGCACAAGCACAAGTCTAAAAAAAAAATCACATCTCTATACCTGAAAGTGAGGTTAATGTACAGATATAATTTTTTTTCTTAGACCAATTCGTGCGTGGATGATAAATAAATGACAGGGAATTCAACCTCACCGTAATAAATATGATATCGAAGTGATACAAATCAGTATACTCTGGTTTGTTGTTATATATTATATAAATATTTGTATGAGCTTTGTATATTACAGTTACATGTATATATAATTTTCATCCATTTGTATATCATTCTATTCTACTATATTAATAATAGTGTCGTGCAAGTGCATGGTGGACACTCTTCTGTAATAATTCGATTTTTCTAATAGATTGGATTTCAGTAGGCATTCATATTTTCCCGCCAAACTTTCAATCTCCCATGCAGAGTTATCGGTCCTTGAGAGAGAGCAAGGACCAATAACTCTGCATCGGAGATTGAACGTTTGGCGGGAAAATATGAATGCCTTAACACACATTTTCTGTACGTGTGCAAAGATATTAAAGATTTTTTACTTATATATATATATTTCTAACGACAAAACATTTTCATATTATCAATTTATGTTCTAAAAAAAAAAATTTTTAGGAGTATCTATTGAAAAAAATGAATTTATAACAAGCGATAAGGAATGTTATTTTGCACTCGATAATGTCCGCGTATTTATCATGTTTATAGATCGGTTACAATCCCAACACGTAAGTTACGTAATGGAAATCTAGGCGACAGCAATACACCGGAATGCTCTCACGGTCATCCGATGTAAAAATCTAACTTGAAATCGGACTATACAGAGTTGAACAATATTATTATACATTTATAGCCTTTGTATATGAGGCTAGAAAATTAACGAGCATTAATCGACCTGAAAGAAGTATATAGAATGAGGACGAAGTCCGAGGTCGATATATTCTTGTATCGACCTCATACAAAGGCTACAATTGTTATATTATTATTGTCAATAAGCCAGAAGTAGAGCACCAATTCATTTGATTGGTTGTTTTGATTGTGTCAGATATTCTTAAAATAACCGTGCAATATCACTTTTCTCTCTGCTGTTTTCAGTCTCACTTTGAAGATCTTTGAAAATATAGTTGAACATGTGACTCTTTCTAAACGAATCACATTAGTGAGAATATACACAATAATTATGTATGTGAATGATCCTAATTGGGGTGTCCGTCTTATTAAGTGTATACACGATTTTTATTCGTGGCCACCATATGGACAGGGCTGGACTCATCAGAGATCGACACGAAGCACAATCAAAAAGACCAAATATACAGATCTAAGAGTTCTCTTAATTACTGAAAGCTAGTTCAAAGCCCATTATAACTAACAAGTAAATCATGCTTTTCCTGACTAAAATTTCAA